TGATTTCACGCATATGGCGGCCGCTGTCAACAACTCGTTAGTTTATTAAGCTTTGGGTTCTAATGTTTGCTGTAATCAGCAAATATTAGTAGCTTTGTTTTATAATTTATTCTGCTTCCTCTGAGAATATTAGGTCAATAAAAAACACTAATTATCCATGACTAGTTGAACATTTTGGCCTAAATATGTTGCAGTTTTTTTTATCAACTTCAAAATTGCCTTAATGATGCACTAAAACCCCAATTACTTCCAAAATGATGCATCCTTTGTTATTTTGTTATATATTTCACCCATTAAGATTACCCTGTTTTTATCTGTGCTATGCTTTCTGGGCAACAGGACCAAGCATACGTCATTTACCCAGAATACACTGCAGTGTAATAAACAACATGGTGACGTCAGCGTAACAATGGTTGATTTACCATTTGTTAAAAGGAAACAGAAACAGCTAGCAGTGTTCTCTACTCAATTTTATTCCCACTGGAAATATTTTTTTCTAAATTAAATATATGTTGTTAGGAATATTCCTAGATCCCTTGAAAGGGTTTTTAGTTTTCCTTAGAGGGTGCAACAATATCAGTTAATGACCCAAGCAGTGGCTTATTACATCTTTTGAATTACTCTTTCATTAATAAGGCCAGAGAAAAAAGATAAAGTCAGCAGTTATGTTTGAAAGACAAACAGAAAAAGTAGGGATAAGGAACAAAATCCAATGTTTGAAAGATGTTAACTGGAAGGCAGGGCTGGGTTTTCGTTCTATGTTGGTTGTAAGTCTTTCCTTGTCTGAGTCAAAGGTTCCAGGATGAACCGGATCCAAAACGGCGTGTGCTGTAGAGCTGCCATGGGACAAAGCTGTCTCCAGCTCAGCCAGTTTAAATAAACTTGACAAGGGCAAAATGAAAGATGATCCCAGAGGAAGAAGATGGAGAGAAAATAACACGTCAGTGACCGTCTTCCTAATTGAAGTCATTTGTTTACTTTAGTCAGGCTCGTTTCTCCCAGTCAGGCCATTGTTAAATAATTTAGTTATAAAATTTCTACACGTCGGGGGCTGAGAAGTGGTAGCTGAATTTAATATCCGCCTGCTTTCGAGGCTCCTGCTGCTGCTTCGATGTTGTTTCCATCCCAGCAGGAGCCCATTTGTCTGCATCTGAACTATTAACCTTTCTCAGTTCCCAGGGAGACTGTAAGGCTACATTTGGCCAAGGTTGGACTATCACTGCTGAAAAGTGTCTAAAGCTTTAAGACACGTAGGAAAGACATACAAAACTTGTTAAGAAATGTCTTTGTTCAAAGATTTATGACAACGAAAATCCCAGCAGCATACGGCAATCACTATGCAATTACTCATGAGCAGGAAAGAACATAAGCCCTTTTTGACAAAGAATCTGTAATATTGGTGTGTGTGTTTTATCTGTACCAAAAAAAAAAAGAAAAAACGCCTTTAGGGCATTTGTACAAAGGCCTCAGCTTTTAAAAATGTCCTGATTTTCTCTTGGAGGTAAAAGGAGGACACAAAAACATCTGCGAACAGAAGAGGAAGAAAACTCTTTGATGATTGAATTCATGTTGCCGTAATACTTTGTTGACATGGATTTGAAGGTCTCCAGTGATGCATTAACTTCAGAAATATGAGACCTTTGGGCATTTAAATTCACACGACTGGAGAACAGAGCGTGTTCCTATCTGTTCTATATTCTACAGAACAGATAGGAACACAAACAGCTCTGTAAAAAATAATAATGTTGGTTTTTGCTAAATTCAGAGCAGGTTTGCTAAGTTTCTTTTTTATCAACCTTTTAGTCTGGTTTTTCAATATCCCTATAATTTAAGAGGATTTCATGTAACACTCATTTCTATTTGTAAAGTGGATGAAGAGGTAGAAATCTAAAAAGTGTGGCAAGCACTTAACCTTGAGCTCTTTAACACTTCTAAATAAGATCCAATGGACCCAGCTTTGTTCAGAAGGAGCTGACGGATCAACTGTTTGTAATTCTTGCTACTTTCAATAAATCTTGCTGCAGCAGGATGCTGCATATTTTCAAAACGTCTGTAGCAGAGTGGAGATTGACGGATGCAGGTTATTTGAAATGTAAAAAAAAAATAAAATAAAAAAAATGTAAATCCCTTTATTGTCCCACAATAGGGAGGTATGTAAAGGATAGGGGATAAGACTTAAATATAAAGAATTTCACAATAAACAAAAGCTTTCACAGCTTTCATGTTTCTCAATTTTAACTAAAAAGTGTTATTAAACAAACAAAACACTAAACGTTAGTAGCAAACGGCGGGAGTGGTAATGTGTGAGCTAAAGGTACGGCTACTAAATGCACCAATCAATTAATGAATCCACGAAGGTCTCAAGAAAGATTCAAGAAAAAAAACGGTAATATAGGCTGAAAATACCGATTTACCGGTCTACTTACATTTTGATCTTTCTGCCATCACCTGCTGGAGAAGAAGCACCAGAGCACACTTTTTCAAGAAGCTGAACAAGCGGATCAAGACCGGTTTTGTACTGTTGACTCCTCTAGAAACTCTGGGGATAAAAAAAATAATTCTTCATAAAACGCAAAACATTAAGAACAGCCTTTAACATCCTTTTTTATTACCAGGTCCATAGACCCTCCTGTCTACAGCTGTTAACAGCTACAATAACTCAATAAAGAATCACCTGAAAGAGCTACAGCTAAATTTCATTTCAGTTCTGAATTCAATTGAATCAGAATTGATTTAGACTCAAATTATATTTATTTCACAAAAATAGGAGCTTAAGACTCCAGTTTGACTTGTGAGTTTAAGACTGAAGACCTAAATACGAATTCTGGTCTGATGTTGAGTTTTACTGACAGGTTCTGTCTCACATAATGAAGAGTGAAAGGAAGCTGGTATGTGAGCTGCAGTCTGCTGCTGCGCATGTTTTACTGTGAAAGGATGCTGTTATTAGCTAGGGACTTTGATGGATTATGGGATGTTAATGGCTCATAACAATCTGTTCACGTTAGCCGTAGCTTCATATTAATGACCATATTAATTTGTTTTTCATAATGAACATTGCTAAGTGTCTTTGGAACAAAATAAACTTACCTCTCAGAGGCTTTCACTGTTAACTAACTGTAACTTTCCTGCATTTAAAAGAAAGGAGCTGAAAGATCTGAACTTTTATATTTTTTCTAAATTCATAAACTATCAGGAAGTAGACATGGCTTGATTGGATGGTGAAGGAGCACAGTAGAGATGGAGATTTTTTTCTATGAAAATGGAAAATGGAGAAAAGAATGTTGAGAAAGGATGAAATGTGAGTTCTGAGGAGATTTTTTGGTAGCTTAATAAAAAAGCCTTCTATAATTTAGCCTTAGAAGGACTGTTAAATACTTCATCATTCGCTGTCCTCTCTTAGCTCCAGCACAGACACTGGCCAGATGCCGTAGCCTCTCCCTACTCTGGTCTCTCCCTGGTGGACATGTTTGATGTACCGCTGTGGTTCCTTAGCTCCTGAGGGGGGTGAGGCCTGCTGCCTCTTCCCGGTTTTGGTGCCATCTCCGCTGACATACTTGTTTTGATTTTCCACCGCTCCTTTCTTACCTCCACTACACTACATCACCTTACCTCTGTTGTCTGGGTGGGTCAACCCTACCTGGGCAACAGTGGGATGGCTTCGGGATGGCTTCAGGTCCCAGACTGAAACTCCATGGAAAGCAGCCATGATCCTGCCATAGATTTTGGAGTCTCTCAACCGGAAGCATCTCTGGAGAATCTGCTGGACCCAAGGACAGCAGTGTTTCTACTTTGTCAGGCTTTCCAAAGTATATAAACCCTGTTACTCACACAGTAACATACATGCACACCATATTGAGTTGAAACCGACGACCAGATGCTACGACGAAGAACCTTTTGTCCACCATGCAAATTGTTTTTGCTCACCAGTTAAATCTTTGGCAAAATGTTAGGAGAGCAAAAGCCATAAAACTGTCAAATTATTTCTACAGGTTTTGCGTCTGGTTTGACCGCACTATAACAGTTACAATATGATTAAAGGCTCTTATGTAAAAACCTAAGCTTTTAAGTATATATATATTCCACCTGTGGGCATCAGGGTCTTTTCACCTCATCCTTAGTTCCGTATGTAACGGTCTGCTTGTCCTGAATGTATGATAGCTGTGGCTTGGAGAGAAGGAGCAGAGAATAAATGAGTAAAATGGGTCAAAGCCTGCATACAATTACTGCAGATGTGCATTCTAAACTGCGTTTCAGTGACAGATATGAGTTATGATGAACATGTGGGCGAGGAGTACACTGCTGCTCAGAAAGAAAAAAAAAAGTTTTCCTCCAGCACCATTTCCACTTTGGAAATTAAAGGTGACTCTCCAGGGAATGTAGACCCGCCTTTAGAAGGCACTGAACCTGTGGGCTCAGGACGTGCAGTGAGGCAGTGTCAGTGGTGTGTGAAACCATGTCATGGCCCAGTTTCTTGCACGCTTTGAAATTCAAAACACAAAGCTAAAGAGAGGGAGAAAGTTATCGGCATGCAGGCACAGAGATGGCATTCTCTATATCCACATTCTCTGTCAAGGTAAAGCCATGAATATTGCAGGATGCGAGGCGAGGTTGATCCGGACAGTGTTTACAGGAGGGAAACTCATCTCCACATATGGATGAGATGCTGATAAACAGGAGATATCGGTATTAGAGAGTCAGGTGTGTCACACAGCCCGTGGTGACTGGAGTACACCGACTCCAGCCTAAATCTCAGTGCCAGGGTCTGTGTTTGATATGCAGCTGCTGTACACGCTGCAAACACACACACTGTGTGTGGGTTGGTGTGTCGAATTTGTGATTGCAGATCAGTTTGTTTATCTCTGCTGAGAATAGTTAGATTTTTTTTCCTTTGCATGCTGCTGACACAGACAAGAACAATAACAGCAAAGCTTCTGTGATCACTCAGATTTAGCCGGCTTGTGATGTTGTAATGCTCTTTTTCTCTCTGCTTCCTTCCGCAGTCCGTTCCAAAACCTATTGCCCTTGAGCCTTGCTTTGGCAACAAAGCCGCTGTGCTCTCCATCTTTGTACGGTTACCCAGGGGCACCGGCGGCATCCCTCCTCCAGGACAGTCTGGTAAGCTGCAGCTGCTCACTCCTTTGGGTTTTTTATTTATTTATTTTCTTTGATCTGACATTCTTCCCTTGTACTGCGTTCTTTTGCTTCAGTTATTTGTACTATCACAGTTTTGCTCCTTGATGCTCCTCTAAATTAGTTCACTTCCTTTTCTTTTGCCTTTTGTCACTGGACTTCTTTGAAGTTTAGCAGACTAAAAATTTCAAAAAATAAACAAAGCTTTGGAGTAAGATCATGCTGACAGATTCAATCTGAAGAAACAAAAAAACTCTCTTCCATTTTATTGTATTTCTTTTGTTTATAAAATTTAGAGATAGGCTACCTATGTAAAGTATTCTATAAACGTTATTTAGTGCTATCATTTTTATTATTTTTTAAATAACTTTTACTATTGCCTAAATCTCCGTGGCTTAGAACCTCATCTTTCTTTTACAGCCTCTCTCTAACTGCAGTCTGCTCATTATAATGACATGGTACCAAACTAGTTTGCACATGTTCATATTTGCACAACAATCTTTGTAGAACACTTATTGCATGAGCTAAAATTAAAAGACAATTAATGCAAATATCTTTTTATTTGGAATCTTTGAAGATTGCTTTTGTCCAACCAGAACAACAAAGAGATGATTTAATTCAAAAAGCAAAACTATATTCTATTAGCTCAGTCAGAGTCCAGATTGATTAGAAATATGTGGCAGGAGTAAAAAAAAATGTTCACAGATACAATACATCCAATCTAATTAAACTACAGGAGAAAATTGAATAAGAAAAATAAATCAAATTTATCAAACCATTTACCTCCTACATCAAAATGAACTATTTTGTGATGTTTTATTATGTATGGTCGCTATAAAATGTACATAAGAAAGAAGGCTGATATAGATACAATGAGCCAACTTTAACACAGAGGATTTCTGTTTCAAATGTACTTTAAAATGTTTCCTAAACTGACTGAACCTTTGGGGTTTACAGCTGCTGGTGTTAATGAAAATCACACACAGGTGATCAGATCACAGCGTCTCTGAGCGTCTAACTTCTAGCACACATCATTAACATGTATTTACACTCGCTGAGGCACACTTCCAACCAACTGTGTTTATCACTTATAATTAATGCATTTAGCCTCATTGAGAACAAATAGCTTGCAGCAAAATATAAACTCCCAGAGCAAATATTTGCTTCTCGTCTGATCCAAAAGTTTACCGATATTGCCTCAAATGACTACAGTAAGACATGAATAGCAGCTAGAGTTTTCTTTATGGCTGTTCGGTGAGGCCTTATGGGTGGCCATCTTGGAATGAGGTAAGCAGGGTGAGAACAGATGTGATGGGAGGCTGAGGCGCCAACAACAGAAGGCGGTGTGAGAATTTAAAGCGACCAAAGGCTGCATGGGAAAGGAGTTAAAAGCGTTATAGCAGGATGAGACGGTGGAGCACAGCTAACACGGTTTAGACAAATGGTGCCTGAGGGAGCGCTCCACCGAGAGCGCGGGCACTTCTGTTATGACAAAAGGACTTTACAGTAATTAATAAGAGCCCTGGGCGTGCTGATGGTCTGGGGACTGCTACTATGAGAGGCTAGCCAATGTGGTGGTGGTGGGGGGGGGGGTTTGTTAAAGTCCGCGGATGGAGAAAGTAAGAAAGTAGGTGAGTCAGACTGTCCTGAGGGAGGATTAAGAACAAAGGATGACAGAAATAAATATCAGATCAAAGGATAAAATCATACTAGCAAACAGAAAACATGAAAAATTGCAAAAAATAATAATGAATAGAGGCACAGAACATTTTACGGCTAGGAGACTGTTGGTAGCATTTGCTTTACGAAGATCACATTTAGTTTTACTTTGAATGCAGTCAATGACTGGTCAAAGTATGGGGCTTCAATATAAATACACGCCACCCTTCTCCAAATTTAAGTGGTTAAAATAATCACTAACCATAATCCATAAAACCTGGATAAGGTTAATCGTGTTTTTAGGTTTGATGAAATGTGCAAAAGTTGAATGAGGTAAATAGAGTCAGACAGAAACAGCAGCTGGCTGATATTTTTGGCCCATATATATATTTTTTCCTGGTTGTTCCCAAACTGTGTGGCGCGCCCCCTAGAGGTGAAGCAGTGTTATTCAGGAAAAGTTTGGGTGGACTGAGCAGGCATGCCTTTAGATAACACGAAGCGCATGCATCTCTGCTATCCATAGTTAATGTTTTTTTTTAGTTGCTGCTTAATGTTTTTTTCTTTTTTGTTTAAATGAACACTTGTATAACATTTGTTATTACTGTGTAATTCTTTTATGATGTTTGATGTCAAAATAATCAATTTAAGCGGCCCTTATAAACATGCATGGGTCGATTTCTAGCGTGAGTCCTTTAGTAGGACGTTAACCGTGGTGTGGTTGTGTGTCTGCAGGTCTGGCGGTGGCCAGCGCTCTGGTCGACGTCTCCCAGCAGATGTGTGTCGGCTACAAGGAGAAGTCTGGAGGCCTGAGGAGTCGCAAACAGCAGCCTTCAGCGCAGCCGTCCACCTGCATCTGAGCGCAGCTCCCACCGTCCCTGCACCCACTGCTCTTCATCGCCCCCCCCTCCCATTCCTCTTCCTCAGCCCCCTGTTTTTATAGGCTTCTGCCAGCTCCGCTCTGGCAGAGAGAGGTGCATGCTGGGAAGTAGTACTGAACACTTTCATGAGTTCTGAACAAAGCCTCAGTGACCCCCCCAACCACCCCCCTAAAACTGTAGAACTAACAGGGACAAGGACGGGGGGGGGCGCATTGAGAGAGGACCAGAGGAGACACCGACTCCTCCCCTTCCTCCATGAAACACATTTTACATTCGATGACCTCGCCTCGGTGGTGACGAGGCGCCGCGGCTCGCTGCTAGAGATCCTTAGTCTCGTAGTTTTTCAAAACATCCAGACTTTGCAACCTTTAATGTTTATGTTTTATTTAAATTATTCTTGGTCTTTTGTTCCATTTTTATTTTATTGTGCGGAAGGAAAAAAAAAAAAAAAAGAGAAAAAAACTGGAAAAGCCTAGCTGCACACACTCCAGGAAAACACAGCTTTCCAGTTTATGAGCCCGCTGTGTTGTTAACAGCTCGGCACTGAGGGCAGCTTATCGGGCGTCTGGGCGACATGGTGGCGTGTTTGGCCCTTCGGGTAACGAGGATCCACTGTGGGGTCTCTCCCTGTGCAGCCAAACCAGACCAAAGAGTCTGACATTTCCAATCAGCCTGTGTGGAGCTGCCCACCTGGAACTATCTCTGTTTTTTTGAGCAGCCCCTAAACCTGGATGGAGCCACCTGGTAAAGCCTCAACAAGTCGATCTGCTTTATGAGCTTAGTGGAAGCTATTTGCTTGTTACCATCCAGGCAGCTTCACATCATTAAATAAATACAGGTGGTCATGTGATACGAGCTTCTATTAAAGTATTGTGACTCTTAGGCTTCTACACAGGCTGTTCTCTCATTGTTAGCTATGAAATCTGTATCCATACCTTCTATGGGATCAGCTAAACCCTTGGCTTTAAATGGATGTTCTCCTGTCGATGGATCCAATGCCAGCATTTAAACGGTACCAAACAGATTGGGTGTACGGGCATGTCAACTGGTGACTAAACTTTTCTCAGCTCTGTGATTTTTTTTTTTCTTTCTAACTTACAACCCATCATTTATTTTATATCTCATTCATTTTACTGAAAGAAGAATCCAAAGGAATCAAATGTAACACCTGCTGGTGTCATTAGAGATGCACAGATTATCTGACTGATTTTAAATGTCTAATTTTCCTGAAAAATAGTTGGATCTCCAGATTTTTATGGAGTCACTTCTGATTCATTATTGATGCAAGCAAAGAAAATGGAACTTTGATTTCTCCGACTTTTTTATATAATTATTTTCAGAATTGGTTTTTTTTTCTCTTTTTTTTCAGTTTTTACATTTTGAGAAAAAAAAATGGAAAAAGTAAAACTTTAAAATAAAATAAAAGGTCTGTAAAAAAAAAAAACATAAAATCTGAGACAACAGAAAAGTAACTTCCAAAACCTTTTATTTTTTTTAAGTAATTTTTTCAAAGTTATTTCTGGATTGCATTATGGATTTTTTCTTTTTTTTTTTTTTTTTTACAAAATGTGTTTCTTCTTGCAACAATGATGGAACAAAATTCCCTCCAAAGGAATATAGGAACTTTCTAAATATTTCTTCCAAGCCTTCCCGGCTGGTACAGGTTATTATTTATGTTGGAACCAGAGGCTCCAATCACCGAGGATGATTCAGGTCATATTTCAAACCTGTTTTTAACATCTAAGCAGGATTAGTTAAATAAGCTGCAAACATTCATCTTTTTGTGTTTTCGTAGAGAATGTGGACCCTGAGAGCTCAAAAGAATGAAATGGTGACTCTGTTCAGCCTCCCTGATACCTACTGAATTCGCCCCTCTCTAAAACCTCCCTATCAAACATTCTTATTTTGTCTTGTTGCAAAAAAAGCTGTAAAAATGGTGTGAAATGACCGATGTTAACTGAAGTTTAGCTCTGCCGTAGGACTCTGTGTGAACAGACCTGTTATTGCAGCCAAACAGGACTTGGGTTTGTTGCGTTCAGAGATCTAAAGATGGTCGGAATTTTGAGCTCCGGTGATTTTTCTGCTCGATTTTGTCTGTTTCAGTTTCATCCATTCAGATTCATCTTATGTGTCTTGCTACAGCACCTGCAGGGCTATGGACTGAAGATGGAGACATAATTCAATAGAAGAAATCTTTCCACCTGCCTCACATGGTTATTAACTTCCCGCCCTGCTGAACAGTGCTGTTATAGAACAGTTTAATAACCTGCATTGTGCCCTAAAGAGCTTGTTGTGTTTAGTTGCAAGCTCTCCCGTGTGCTCGGCGCGGTAGAACTGGTTAAAGGGCACACTTTTAGCATCGGGAAAAGGTCAGACCAGAAAGCATGAACAAAGTTGACATTCTATAATTATAAAGTGCCCACAACTCCACTCAGCAGCTCCAGCAGTCACTGCAGCATTAAGAAGCCGACTCTCGAGGCTTCTGCTTTGTTTTCATTATTTTCCCACTCATTTTCATGGAGGAAAGCCATTTCTTTTAGCATTTATTGTTAGATTAGAGATTACTGTTAATATCTGCTGCTTCTGCTAAAGCCTGATATTTAAACAGAACTCCCACTGAATGTTACTGTTGCACCTCTTCTTTCCACCTGTAAGCAGAAAAGAGCCTTTTATATTAGCCTAAATATTCCCGACTATAACTTTTTCTTTACCAGCTGAGCTCCAGCAGTGCTGTTTATTATTCATTTTAAAGTAACTTGAATGTTTTATCACCTTCTATAGTGTATCATGAAGTTTACAAAGATGATTTACAAAAATCTGTTTTCTTTTTATAAAAATGAGTTGAAAAGAAAAAGATTCAAAATGCAGGCTTCAGCAGCTGGAAACAGAATGAAGATGAACTGATTTCCATAAAAATGCAGCTCTGTATGTAATCCAGACTGGTTCTGCCCTTTCAGTTTTACAGCAGCAGCATTTCATGTTTTCATGTCTTTGCCCCTCAGTGACCACTGTTTGATAACAAGATGCATGCTCATGCATTTTCACAAGTATCATGTTTTAAAGGCTAAAGTCTATAAAATATGATGCATGAAGGCGACTTTCTTAAGCTGCCAAATGATTAAAATAATGAATGTCCTCAGTCAGCAGCCCGAGCAGCTGGAACTCACCAAGAGAGCAATGAAAGGACTTCCAATGGTATTAGAAATATTCGTAACGTTTGACTGGCCCTGTTCTGAAGCACGGTTGGCATTAGAAGAATGTAAGTGACTGTTTTGCCGTCTCAGCACCAATCTTAGACATTTGGCCTTTGCTCCACCCACTCCACGTTTCTCTGCTTTGCTGACTAAACGCCTCTTTAGGACGGTGTGGGTGTTTGAGGACTGTGATGGAGTGTCCTGTTGCCCCGGGACACATTTAGACCTGATGAGCAGTGCTTGCCAATTCAACCTTAAATGGGGATTAATGAAGCATTTGACCTTGATGATGGTTAATGCTACAAACAGTCACAAATTTAGTAGTGTTTGTCTCTGCGAAGTCATGAAAAGCTGCCCCCCCCCCTCATAGTCACAAAGTGGTTTTACATTAAGATCTACATCTGGTTTCCTCCACATTTTCAAATGGTACTTTGGTTTTTTACCGGTAATATTTTTGCTCCTCAGTCAAAGTGCTGTGTGAGATTGACATTTCTAAAAAAAAAAAAAAGTGAAAAGAAAACACTGATTATGGTGATTACTGCTCAGAATGTTGCCTTCAATTTCCAGTTAGTTTTTTTCTTTCCTTTGAACTGCTTTTTTGGAGAAAAAAAAAAATTCAGTTCGAATTTTTTTTCCCTAAGAAATTAAGTCTTAGGTGGCATGTGGGCAGGATTCTCCTTTTTTGTTTTCTTTCTGCCTCCCTGCTCTGAGCAGAAAACGTTCAACTGAGGGTTAAACCTCGTTTTAAATTAACTCTACCTGATCGATTCCCACCTTAAACGTCCTTAGCAGTGAACTTCAGCAATTAGTTTGCCTAATTCAGAATTTCAGAGCGTAATGCAGCTCAACTTTGCTTTTCTCCGTTCCTCCTTCCTGTTATCTGCTGAAATTTTTGTTCTCAACGCCTAATTGAATCACAGACATATCTCGACAGGCAGTTTTCTCTCTTAGCCCGCTTTTTAAAACCTCTGATTACTTTCACTTATTTTAAACAATTTTCTGATATTGAAAACTCCTTATGTTGGGTTGTCCTAGCGACTTGGTAAACAGGTTTCGTTAGCAGTCATGTTCTCAGTGCATCTCTAGTCCTTCCTTGTCCAGTTGACAAGAGGATTTCCATCAGTGCATCATTGAATTGCATTTATTGTGAACCACATTTTTGGAAAACATGCAAATTGTCAAGTTTAAAAGCTCTCTTTAGCTGATGTGCTCTTAAGATAAAATAAAAAAGAAATGCACGTTTCTTTGTGTACAGCTTTGTGGACGCAGCCCGATGCATTGGTTTTAGATACTGCATGAAGGAATGGCGCCGTGTGTGTGGGGAGAGACTAAAACTCCCCTCCAACAAACGAGTTCTTACCTTGCCATGATGTGCTGGCCGACAAGGGTGATGAATGTCTTTTTATAGTAATTACTGTATATTAAAACTTTATTTTAACGTGTTTATTTAAACTTGGACACCATAGGTTTGACAAATTAAAGTTTAAAGAGCACAAAACGACACCTGGTCTCTGTAAGGTTTAGCCTTTTGATCTTCTCCCCCTGTGTGTAACGCATCAAAGCTCAACCCTGACGGAAAGCACCAGCTTTACCGTTCACATAGTCCTGATGTTGCATTAAAGGAACCTTCAGTCCTAAAGTTCAGATTTTCCACACAATTACCTCCCAGCACCATTTGAAGCCAGCTGAGTGTGAAGTGGCCCCGAGCTGCTCTAAATATCTAAGGGGGGGGAGTGTGTAGGAACCTTGTACGCTGTCACCTCAGTGCTGGCGTTAAGAAACGAGCGGCTTCCTCCAATCGATCTCACTTTCCAAAGCCTCCAACTCTGCCAGGTAACACCTTCACTCTACTTCAGCCTTATTTCTGCTTACTAATCTCTTTGTTCTTCAAAATGTACAGAAAATTCATATTTATAAATTGTGATGGAAAACATGTCTAATTTAAGAGTACAAGTTGATTTATTTTTGTCCAACACTGGCAGCATTAATGCGTATTTAAAAGGCTTTGTTTCACAGTTTAAAGAGTCTGAATAGGGTCGCTGTAAAGTCAGGCTTCGCCCTTCCTCTTTCTGTCTCTTTGTATAGCGGCATTATATATATTGAGATAGTAGTTTGTTAATATGTATAATTTAGCAGTTGCTGGGTTTTTTGTAAATAACGAGAAAATATTGTGAATGACTTTTGAATGGTCTTAAACTCATTAATGGCAAGTTCTCTGCAGGCTTTTAAAATGTGATTACAGCATATTTTGTATGTCTGACAGCAGTGTAAGACAAACAGGCATTACTAAAAGCTGATGAATTACAGATCAAACTTGAGAATGGCTTCCTGACCGTGTAATTACTGATGTACATAAAAGAACCACAGAACATTTTGTCTATTAATAAATGTGAAAAAAAATTCACCCCCTTGCTGTGTGTTTTTACTATCTGTTGCAGTATTTTAATCTTGTTAAAATGTTGATAAAATCAAAATGAATCCAGATTCCTTGCATTAATCTAAAATGAACTTGGCTATATTTTCAGAATAGCCACCATGGATGAAGACTTCTACCGTTTTTAACACTTCCACCCTTATAAACTAATGACTGAGAATTAGACTATTATTTTGGGACATTGTTTTTGTTTTTCTAAACTCAAAACATTTAAAATCAGTTTACAATGTCTGTTGATGCACCAAAAAAGTGATAAAGGTTTATCATATTCATTACATAAAAAAATCTGCATATGATAAAATTAGTAAATTTCTAAACTTGTTTATCTAAAATTTACTTTTGCAAAACAAAGCGATATTTTATAGTTATGAGAAATAGTAATATTTATAGTCCTGGTTTAAAGTGAAAATAATAATTTATAAACATTTATTATAAGACTGTGGTTGCAAAGACAAACTCTAGCAGTGGTAACCTGCAGAGGATGTTTTATCCTCTCCTGGAGACTGTGGTGAACTCAACTGACAAATGCATCCTTTGTCAACGACTGGATGGATCTGGCGTGATGCTACATTCAAGTGCAGCAATAATTCACCATTAAAAACAATAAGGTTTTTTTTACCTTAGAGTGCAGGAATGCAGCAATGCTCCTATCACTTCTATTGCTTTAATTCTACATTTAGTTGCTTTGCTTTTCTTCTTT